TCTCTCTCTCTCTCTCTCTCTCTCTCTCTCTCTTACATGTTGCAATAGTTACTCACTAAATATCCACCGATTTCTGTTGTTTGGAGAGGCAGAATGATCAAAAAGTTCTCATGTTCCACAAACAGCAAACAAATACCACATGAGTACACCAAAAATAAAATACTTAATAGGGGATAAATGCTACAAGATGACAGCAAGAGGCCTTATTGCCAGCGCGCGCGCACACACACACACATATATATATATATATATATATATATATATATATATATATATATATATATATATATATATATATATATATATATATATATGCTTCACATATATCAGTTTATCTTGTCGGTGACTAACTTTATTTTAAAAATATAAAAAATAAAGATGCTAAATATTTTTTCCACCACAAACGATATATTTTTAAATATGTGTTTTTTCTACTTAAGTAATTAATTTTAACTTAAAAGATCTATTATATATAATAATAATAATAATAATAATAATAATAATAATAATAATAATAATAATAATAATAATAATAATAATAATAATAATAATTTGAGTTTGCAAGGATATGCAATCTAAACTTAAATTTAGAGAAAATAAATACGAAAGTCACTTATAAAGCTCAAGAGATTAATATGAATTTATGGAATTCATATGGTATAGCTTTAGTTATTCCTTAAGGTTAATTTCTATTAATTGGCTATTAGTGTAGAGACGTTAAAAAGATATAATGGCAAGGATATAATAGGAAGTTTAGGGGTTCTTTTAATTCAAATAATCTATTTGGTGATGTTTTTGGGAGGAAGTTAACAAAAAGGGTTCCACGTTGAGGATAAATATATTATATTTGTAGCAACATATATGATATATTAAAGTTATACGCTCAATGTAATATGTCCAAAATATTCTAGGGTAATTATGTAAAAACATCTAATTTTGATGGCCCATCCGTCTTATCAAAGTGGTCGTCTTTTTTACTTTCCCAGCTTGCGTGACAAACATGAAAGCTCCGATGCGGTTGTCCTAAAAAGCTAAATCTCGACCGTCCACGTAGTGGCAACTGTAACGACACGTGACAACCACGTGGTGATCTCCACGAAGGGTTGAACTACTCCGACCGGCCCTTTAAACCACGCGCAAAGAGGGTTTAGGGCATTGCCGCTTCCATATCGTGCTTCGTAGCCGCCGCAAGCAGGGCCACGCCTCGCCGGAGACTGGTCCGGTGAAGAGCAGGTTTCAACATGAGGTGTGTGCTTTTCCTTTCCCGAATCTGTGTGTTTCGTCGCCGGTTTATGAATCTTTTTTCTCGTTGTTAGATGGTGGTAGACTTGCGATCTTGCAGCAAAATAGATTCGATTTTTATCCCTTGTGCGACATGCAGTTGGTGTTTTCTTTACTTGATTGAATTGGCTAAACCAGTTTGGTGCCTTATGGCTTGACCATGATCAATCTGGCATCGACCGTCTTACTGATGGAGGTCATCAAGAACAAACATAAATGTTCATAATTATGGAATTCTTTCAACAGTGGAAATCAGTTTCCAAGAGTTCGAATAATGCTTTGCCCTTTATGTAGATTATTGCCATTAGTTGGTCTTTGATCTGTTTAGTTTAAGCATTTAGATTCTTTTAGGCAGAGGTTGCTTCCAGTGAGGATGATCCTGTATATTGATCTCCACATGGTTGTTTCCTCCCCATCTAATTCGAGCACCGTTTGTCGGGCTTGGGCCATTTCGCCAGCCCACATGACAGGGGGTGTTAGAATATGAGTAAATCATCTCTCGTTTAGGAGCTTATGGTTTTGGATTAGTTGGTTTGATTCTGAGATTAGCAAGAACATGGTTTTATATCTCAAATATTAGTTGTCTATGTTTTTTATGGTGATATTTGGCCAAAAAATATGATTGATTTCTGTTTTAATTGTTGTGGCTTTTGTGATAATTTATCATTTAATGATTGTCTAACGAGTTATATGCTACACTTCTCAGTCGATATCCTGAAGTTAAATGGGCACAGAGGCTTGACAAGGTTTACATCACTGTACAATTGCCCGACGCAAAAGATGTGAAGGTTAATCTGGAGCCTGATGGGATTTTCACTTTTTCTGCCACTGCTGGCACCGGCAACAACACTTATGAGCTAAAGATGGATCTTTATGATAAAGTAGATAAAGATGTAAGGTTTTCTTTTGAGTTATAAATTGATTTATCATGCATTCTGCTCTCTTTTATTTACTTGCATAATGTTGTCGAGCAGGCAAGCAAAATAAACATTGGTGTCAGGTCTATCTTTGTCGTGGTAGCAAAAGCAGAGAAGCAGTGGTGGAAAAAGCTTCTGCGTGGTGATGGCAAGGCTCCACACTATTTAAAAGTAGATTGGGATAAGTGGGTCGATGAAGATGATGATGGTTTGTTCCTTCATATGTTTTTGGCATTTCTTGTAGTTGTAGCCATATGATAACCATAAGTTATTTGTCGATTATACTAGTTCTAATAGAATAAACACATACTGACAAAAATGTCATTTATCATATAATAGTCAAAGTGCATGCTCTAGTGAATCATCTGCAGTCAAAACCGAGCTAAGAGTTGTTATTGCTAGTGTCATTTTCCGATCTTCCTTGGCCAAACTAATGTCATGATTGGAACCACGGCTTTCTGGTATTGACTTGTGATCCTCAAGTGTAAGTCATGCATCTTAAGAGAGTGGCTTTTGCAAAGTGCATTATTTTGAAAACTGGATATACATAATGTTAGGATCAGATTTGTTCGAGCACAGATCAAAGTAATGACCATCAGTGTCTTTCTTCATATCTGTGGATTTTGATGCAAATAATAATATTAAACATTTCAGGCACATAATACTGGTATGGTGTATTGAACATGTTATGGTTAATATTTTGATAACATTGTATAAAGTTATAAAAGGCTATTGGTGACTCCTTTTATGTGCTGCTTTCTTATCCGTCTTCCTTATATAAACATACTCTTTAAAGCTCTTGCCATATGTTAAGCCTGCATGTCGAATTATTTGGATGATTGAATAGATTTTGTTGAATTCGCAACATTCTGAAATTGATAATGTCAGAGAAACTTAATTACCTTTCAGTTCATTGCATCACAGATAATTTACAACCACTAATTTACCAGGCAGGAGGAATGAGCTGCGGACACTCTCAAATGTCTAAACATGCTTGAAGAGTGGCATGCATGACATATAGGATGTGTTTCAATTAGTTCAACTGATCACTTAGGATCGAATTTGTGTTTATACTTGCTACCTGGTGTTAGAAAATGGTTAAATTTTGTCTTTGATGCAGTTTTGCGATTTACATTTTAATTGTGGGTATTGAGTTTTGCTTTTCTTTTTTTCTCACTTTAACAGGTCCTGGTGATTTGGACTTGGGAGGAATGGATTTCTCGGTAATGACTACTGCACCATGAATATCTTCGTGCTAACTCTTGGTTTCCTAATTATGATTTGTTATTTATAATTTCTTGCCAGAATTTTAACAATATGGGGGGTGATGCTATGGATGATGATTTCGAAGATAGTGATGATGAAGGTAAGAATCAGAACCTTCCATTTAAACAAATTAATTTTTATGTTACGTGAGCTTTTATCTTAAAGTTGTTGAAATATGGTAGTTTTTGTACTGTGCTTATGCTTCTATATCCAAATATAATCCTTGTAGTATATGCTGAGTAACTTTGGAATTATAGCTTACTAAAGACATAATTCAAAAGTAGAATACTCGGTTTCATTGGAGTTGTATTTTTACAGAGCTGCAACTGAAAAGATATGTTCTATGTAGAGTAACATAAAATTCACTGGTGGAAGAATGGGTACCCATGAAAAAAGAATTCATATAGCCCAAGAAGTGAACAACAATGTTGTCAGGATTTGGATCATAATGTGAATCACTAAGGGCCTTAAGCTAGATCAAATAGGGATGAGATCAATTATCATTTTTTTTTCAATGTTCTTAGGCCTAGTCATTTCAGAACTTAGGACAATAGGAAACACAAAACTTGTTAACTCGAATAGTTGTGAATAACAAAACGTCATACCTAACAGACAGGAATTGCAAAAATGAGTTTTTTTTTTACTGTGAGACTAACCTCTACAAGTCTTGTTTTAGCCAAGATTTTCTTAATATATAATCAATAAGTTATTTATTTAATAGATTATGATGATATAAATTTTATTTTCTCTATTTGAAACAATATGTATTATAAGTTAAATGTCATAATCATGATTTTTAATTTTGTGAAGGCTTATCACTAGAAATTACTCATTCTAAAACATTATTATGATTTAATAATTCATAAAGAAACGAGTTAATTATATATTATCCCTTGTACTTGAACCCTAATAGCATCACGGTTCTTGTACTTGAACCCTAACGCCATCAGTTGCATTGACGGAAAACACTCGTGTTGGATTGACACGAAAGTGAAGGAAAAAAAAATGTAATTTTAACATCTCTTTCATTTACAATGATTTTATTGACAAAATGATAATTTTAACATCCCACGCCTTGAAAATAAAAGGAATGTTGAAATTATCTAGGAATGTTAAAATTATATTTTTATTTATTATTTTTGCGTTGATCTAACAGACGACGCTAGGACAATTGAGATTATTTGTTTCACTTTTAGAATTATAAAGATTTCATTTTAAATTTTTTAAGAACTGATATTGCAGCCCGAACAGGGTCAGGATAATATATTAGCCCAAAAGTAGATAATGTGATAGTAAAATCAAAAGTCTAGTTAATGTTTGGAATGTAGATAATGCGATAGTAAAATCAAAAGTCTAGTTAATGTTTGGAATGTTTATGTATCGTATGCTTGGGTTTCAAGTGAATGATGGATATATACTTCAGATCTCTTCTTGGAAGAATTGGTTTCGATAAATTCATCAAAATAGGAATTTCTGGAATGACATTAATCCATTAATCTCAAATTTGCTCAACGAATCTCTCTCTCTCTCTCTCTGTTGGCTAGCAGTTATTAGTGAATCCTAAGTAGACATTTAAAACAACTGTTAATTATTTATATGTCAACCATTGGATCTGACCTTTCCTGATATTTTAACAGAGCAATCTGAAAAAACTGAAGACTCACCAAAGATCGGAAATGACAAGGCAGAAGCCTCATCAGAAGTCAAAACCGAAGCGGCTGCAAGCACGTGAAACAATTCTTTCAGTAATTGTTGCTTATGTGCCATTGTTGCATTTTATGATCGAAAAGTATTGACTAATCATGGATTTATTGCTCCCTATGGTTTTGCTTATTGGATGTAAGTGGAAAATGATTATGTATCCCAGTGACTGCAAAGATGAACTATTATATATCTGCAAGTGCCGTTATCTATTCATCCTCATGCTTTTGGTTCCTCCTGCCGAAGGAACTATCATATTTTTCTGAATCCGATTTAATAGTTAGAATTTTGGATTTTTTTTCTAAAATGTTATATTGAGCATTTGAGGGATGACTATCTTATGTTGTTGGTTTAACCACACCTAAAATTCATGTTGATAGTCTTGAACACTGGGGTTGCATCGTTGAAGACACCAGACAAGGTTTCCTTTGACGATTGGGGATATACTTCTTGAGGCATCACATTTAACTTATACGTACAAGACTAGTAGATACTATTAACTTGTACGTACAAGACTAGTAGATACTCGAAGGACAAGGGGAAGAAGAGACCACTGCAACTCTACTCAACAGCTCGGAATGGGAACGCCGCAGGATTTGGAGACCTTCTTGCTATTATCGGAGTTGATGTAACCTTTCAAGTTGGGGTTCTTCCTGTACTCGCAAAGGCAAGGCCGCTGCTCCTTCAGCTTGGCGCAGCAGGCGGCGGTGGGCGGCGCCGACGTCAGTATAGCCCCTGCGCATGAGCTGAGCTCCGATGGGTTGCATGTCACCGACACTGCCGTCGGAGCTCGGCGCAGGAGGAGTGCAGTCAGGAAGAGGAAGAGGATTGATGACTTCATGGTCACAGTGGACTTCTCAAAGAGAAGTGTAGTCGGTGTGGGATGGGAACGAGGGAAGGGAGAAGGGAGACTATTTATAGGCCATAGTGGCAAGCGAAGGAGGGGAAGAAAGGTCACCGCAGGTCCTCTCACATGGCCACTGTCCGTCCTGCTTCTCTGGAGTCGACATATGAGAAGAGAACAATGTTATTCGATTCAATGCTAATGATTTGTATGTTAATGGTGACTAGAAACAAGATTGACAGGGCTGCCTGATCTTGAGCTCTCCTGCACAAACTTCCACTGGTCTGGATTGTGAAAAGCTTAGTTCTAATACTACATCATTCAGATCGATAAGTATATGATATGGAAGTGCAAGAACAGGAAGGACAGTCCTTACAAAACTTTTCCTTTTTTTTCTTCTTCTTGTCATGTTCTTTCTGAAACAGTGTTGCAGTTTGTCTGGGCTGTGAGAGTGTTTTGTGAGCTTTGGATGCTACTTCTCAGAGGACACTGGTAGAAATGATGTGACATGATGGCCTAAAACTCTGGTCTCCTCTGCCATGCATGTGACCTCTCACTGCACCCGTTGGGAACCCATGGTATGCAGCAGAGGACATCATGGTACAGTGCATGCATGACCCGGAGAGTGGATGCTTCCCATTGTCCACATGTGGCAGCTTGTGTAGAAGAAGAGATTCTGTCGCAGTACACACACACCATGAATCATACGGTCGGTGAAGCCACGGAGGAATCATGTATCATGTATCTGTACATGTAAAACTACACATCGAATGTTTCATCCTCAGCTTTCACTGTCTCTGCTCAGCATTTACTCCTCTTTCAACCTGTTCACTTTTCACAGTATCACAATCTAAACAGTATCGGTTTCTTCTCCATTTTTCGCTCGAGTTTTGTAGTCTTAATTTTGTAAAATTAAATAAATATTAAGAAAAATATGGTAGTTTACATATTCTGAATGATCTTTTATATCAAGCAAGAAGCTAGCTAAGTGATTTATGCATGGAACAGTACATACAGAGAGAGAGAGAGAGAGAGAGAGAGAGAGAGAGAGAGAGAGAGAGAGAGAGATGAACTGGGCATGATAAACGAGATTAAAGCTGGTGGTGAGAAGTCAAAGGGCGCGGTTAGGTCAGGGTGAACTCATTGAAGCAATCAGCGGAGGTTTTCTTTCGGTCTGACCTCCTCAACAGGTCAAGTGGAGTGATCGACCCACCTACTTAAGTCAACGCGGTCCATTCAACCCTCGTTCTGCTCATCACCATTAATTACTTCCCTCATGGTGTTATCGGGTCGGATCCATGCATCTTGAAAACGAATCCTTGTAATAATATGACTCAACGTTTGGGGTTTTAGTTCGCATTTGGAGTCGTATCCATTAGCCCGTCATTGACTATTAGAACAGCTTCGATTCTATATTACTGCTGCCATTTCTCAGTCCATGCATGACGGCAACGCAAATGTGATAACGTTAAACCATTCTGCCGTCAAAGCCTTATGAACGAAGATTTACTGGTAAACAGCCGTGTTTTGAAGCAGTCTAAAGTCTTCGAAGCCCGGGGAGCACGCTGAATCGACCTCGAGACAATGCTAAACGAGCACACAAGCGTCGAGGTTGCTGACGGTGAGCAGCTATATATGGAGCACCGTCTCAACCTTTTCCCTCACACCAACCTTAGCCACGGTCGTCTTCGTATTGACAAGCCATTGTTCTGGGATCATCTGCTCGATCGCTCGACTAGTTCATTTGAACGATCATGGCCACCGCGTCCACGCAGCTGTTGCTGTTCCTCCTGCTGGTTTCGAGCAGCTTGCAGCCTCTCACAGCGGCGAGGGCAATGGAGGGAGACGAGTGGTGGCGGGAGCAGGGCGGCCTGTTGCTGGGATCTCTGCAACAAGGCCCGGTGACGCCATCGGGACCTTCGTGTTGCACCCACAACCCTAACACCCCGAGCTGCCCTCGTTGTTAGGTTGATGACGGAAGCCGCTGCATGTACGCTAACCAAACCATGCAAGACTTGGATGGATACTGATGGTGGCTCTCTCTCAAGAACAAGCTCTATGTATACCTTAATTTGGATGCAACTGTAGCAACTCATCGATTGAAGTTTGTACCAAAGTATTGATCTATATAACTTATTGAATATGTTTGCTTCAAATAAAACTCTCCTCGTGGCATTTGAGCATCTAAATTCACGATAAAATGATGGCTCGAAGGTATAGACTAACTTAGCTAATAAAGACTTATAAAAAATATTTTCATGTAAGATGAAACGAAGAATACTGTGACAGCCATCTCTCCCAGTGAAGCAACTTTAAGTTCTAGTGTTAGAAACAAGATCAATATATACACATATATAATGTAATATAACACAAGATGGAACTCTTTCATCTTCTGATTTAAAAGCCTAAGCTAATGAGATATAGTCGATTGATATACGTTTTTAATATCAAAATTATTAAAATAAAAGTAAGATATCCACAAAGGTCACCAACTCATACGCCACTTCAAGAATTTATTGAAATATATCCACAAAGACTAGTTCAAGACTATAAGGAAAAAGATCAATATGTAGTGATATGAAATATATCCACAAGGTGAAAATAGTTCATGTTCATTTCTTTATATTTTTGTGAAAGATATAATATAATTCTTAAAAGAGAACAGCTGGGCTTATTATCGGGTCGGATCTGACCAGGTACGGAATCCCAACTTGAGAGCGGCCAAAATGATCTTCACCCGTTAACCCGTCGTCGACTAACACAACAGCTTGAAATCTTCCGCCATTTCGTGCAATGCAAATGTGAGAACGTTAAATCACGTTTTGTCGTCGTCAAAATGTTGCGAAGACGGGGAGCGAAGCTGTTCAAGTAAACAGCCGCGGTTTGAACGAGTCTAAAAGTCTCCGGAGCGAAGGGGATACTTTGAATCGACTTCAAACCCATGCATACCACACAGGACGACGATCGACGGTGATGGGGTATATATATATATGTAAGCTCTCAGCCCTTTCCCGCACACCAACCTTTGCTTCATTCATTCATCCTCGAACTGATAACCCATCTTTCTTGGATCCTCTGCTTTGATCGACCATGGCCACCGCGTCCACGCACCTGTTGCTGTTCCTCCTGCTGGTTTCTAGCAGCTTGCAGCCTCTAACGGCGGCGAGGGCAATGGAGGGAGACGAGTGGTGGCGGGAGCAGGGCGGCCTGTTGCTGGGATCTCTGCAACAAGGCCCGGTGACGCCATCTGGACCTTCGTGTTGCACCCACAACCCTAACACCCCGAGCTGCCCTCTTTGCCCGTGATAACCATAGCTGCATGCATGTCCACCGAACCATAGAAACCATGGCGAGGATCAACATTGTTCTTTGGTTTTTTTTTCTGTTGATAGAACTTGGATATGTCACACGATAATATCTCCTCAGAAATTGGTTCATCTCTAATAAAATTCCCTTAATTTTTTTTCAGCTTTCTCGTGTCTGTACTTTGCTCAGGAAATTGAACTTTTCTTCATATATTTATATAATAATTAAAAATTGAAATTATAAAGGATCATGACAACAATAAAGAGTTCATGACACCTCCGCGTAAGACATTATTAATTCACGAGATGAGCATTGGAGTCGGTGCACAGAAATGGTGCAGCAATTTGACGGCCAAATACTGCTCCATTTTGACCTTTTCCACCGGTCAAGTCGAGCGAACACATTAATCCATGCTGACAAATCAATTCAACCTGGCGCAGAGTTGGATTCAAATTGACTTTTGAGTCGATGCACATCATCACGTATGCATCCTCAATTTCATTCTAACAAAATATTGCTAGTGCACTCAAATTCATGATTTATATCCTATTTACTCATGAATTGACTGCTGGAACTTGATGTTGATTGGGAATTAACCAAATCCCTCTTCCACGTCTGTCTCAGCTCAATCTTCGATGACGTATTTGTTCGACTTTAAAGACGTCAAATTTTATATAACTATATCAAGGGCATTTTTGATAATGCCTCTTTAATGTTTAAATTAGTGCTGAGCTTGAAATACTCGATTAAGGTTTGGATTAGTGTTATAAAAATATCTAGGAAGGAATCTTTTTATAATTGATTCTCTTATTTTTGCAATCGACATTGATTAAGAGAGCGATTGTATATTTCTCCTGAGCTCAATCACGTTCGTGCCATGTTGAATTTGGAATATACTAGCATCTCATTCACTCGATTGACCTTATTGACATAATCTAGTTATCAATCACATGTTAATCATATGTTGATCATGTGGCGCTATAGTGTCGATCATGTGGTGCCGAGGATTTGACTGTATAACACTATGGTATCTGTCATACGTTGCTGATTTTTATCGCATGACATTAAGATATCAGTCATATGGTGTTGAGGTGTCGATCATATCTTCATCCCTATATCATATCTAAAAATTTATACTAGCTTGCAAATAGAGTTTGAAATTTAGGTTTTCTCTTACATTTCAAGCCATATTTTGCATCCAATGTGAATTCACAGCTTGATTTGGACTAAAAAATAATCTTCATGAATTCAGATGAATACGATTTAGATACGGGTTTTGGGTGACTCTGGAGTGCATGTAAAATATTATAACTATTGAAAAAAAGAAGAAAGCGTGATCTTTGTTTCTGTTGAGAAGACCACTAACAGCTTACAATGTCTTTGATAACCAAACAAAGTTTGAAATCAATACAAGTCGAGTCATTTCAGACCTTGGCACCATCCTTGACGACACATTTAGGTAAAGCATTAATTAGAACATGTGACGATCAGACCATGTTGTTGTCTTGGGAAACCATGACTAACCTTGTCCTGAGACTTGGTCGGCGCCTAATCTCTCGTATCCGAGATATTATTTAATTAGATAAAATATTTTATAGATTTGATTAAATTTTTATTATAATTATCCAATAGAAATGGTATTCACTCATAATAAAATTTTTTAGAAGACTATTTTAATAGAAGTAGCTCTCTCAATTAATTACTCTTGTCCATCGACATGACCGAAAGAATAATAGTTAAAATTACAAATTTATTCTCAATCTTTTTTAGTCTTTATTTCATTTATTTCATCTCTCGTAGCGGTCATTGAACGATAGAAAAAAA